TGCAGAACAGCCCTCTCCCTGAGAACTAGTGGATCAGACTGGCCAATCCTTGACATGCACTTGGCGTACTGTATGTGCCTGTCTGTGTTTGCATGTACATATACTGTATATGTATGCTTGTGCACATGTACAGTATGTGGTTTATACTGGTGTGTGTGTGCTTGAGAACACAATCTTAAACAGCAAGAACACTGTTTTTGCAAATATACATCAGACTTTTTAGGTTGTATGTCTAATGAAAATAAATTTACTTAGAAGATTTGTTCTGATCTCTGCTGCTTTAAAAGACCAGAGATCTTAATGTTTCTTTATGTTTCACTGAGTAAAACCAATAGTGTAAAAAGCCTCTTGTCTACACACTAAACCAAGGTTTATAAATTCTCAAGATTGCAGATAACTGTGACATAATGTGACATCATGTTATTACACAAGGGGGAGCATATTTTTAAAGGAACAAGTAATAGGTTTATTCCATGCTTCCTTTTTTCAGCATGGAATAAACTTATTACTTGTTCCTTTGCAGCCTACGCATGCTGACGCAGCTACCCACCTGATCTACATATTTTTAATTATGAGAGACTTATACAAATGATAGTGTTGTTATAAATAACAGAGCATGTTATACAAATATGAGAGCGTGTTATTATACATGTGGGAGTGTGTAATTAAATGAGAGATTTTGTTATTATAATACATACATTATATACTGATGGAAAATGAAAACACAGCTTTTCCTGGAATGAGAATACTATAGTTATAGCTTATGTACTTTCACAGAAAGTTGTCAATTTATTTTAAGCCCTCTGACCAGCAATACAGCTTGTGCAGTGAGGCATTGCAACTTGCCAATCAAATGAAAGCTCGTTAGGTCCACTTTTAACCAACGAGGTCCAGGTAGAACAATGCCTGATCAGGTCACCTTTAAAAAGGCCTTAATTCAAAGCTTAGGTCACTGCAAAAAAAAGGCCACACTTAGTCAGTTTGCTCTGCATTCCATAATGCCTCGAATGTCACCAGAAGCAAGGGAGAGGCAGGCATGTCATGTGCCAGTGTTGCCAGACACTATGGAGTAAGCCGCTCCACTGTGTCCCAACTGTAGAGAAGGTTTCAGCAGACCGGCAGGACAGATGACCATCCAAGATCTGGTCGCCCTCGAGTGACCACGCCAGAGCAAGACCGACACATCAGACTGGTCCATCTGAGATATCGTTTTAGATCTGCCACCCTTACTGCTGCTGAAACTGCCAGCAGACAGTGACAGGGCAGTAAGGCTCCATGCTACTGGCCTTAGAGCAAGGTGACCTGTCAGAGGCCCTCTGCTCACACCTCCTAGAC